AAGAAACTGCGGAATTACTAAATATGAAGAATTTGGGGCACTTTTAGAAATAAAGCCAGTTTTCTCCAACACTGGTCAGCCGACCAGACTTGGAAAAATACAATATTTCTTAAAATGTCAGCACACTAGGAGCCACAATTTTACAGGATGCTTTAGACAGTCATTCCCTAACAATCCAGTTAAGTATTTCGTAACAATTTGATCATTTCGGTTTTTTTTATGTTTGCAAATGTTGTATCTTCCCTTTAAATCACCAAATAAAAAAACTCATCAATAATTTCATGATGTGATATTGCTGGCACAAAAGAAAAGCAATTGGCAACGCGACACACGCATAAATGTTTAACACGGTTCTTTTGTCACAATATCTCACGCCCCGGGGCTAATAAAAACATGTATTGATCGAAAGTGTGGCGCAGTCGAACTGACATGGGGCGCGGCAGCATTAGGAAAAAAAAAAGCCACTTATACTGTACTGTCTGGCAAACAGAACAAGCAAAGGCTGGAGTTGTGTCTTTGAGCTTATAATCATGTTTTTGTCATAATTACATCTAGCTTTCAATACATCATAATCTATTACACGTAGGGCTGTCAGGCAGGGAGAGTGTAAAAGGATTTTATAACCGACATACAGATCCTTGTCATTTGATTGGTGGAACTCACATCACGTGACATTCGTTATTACTCCCATTCACGCCGGGTCTCAAAAAGTACTATCCGCCCATGGGGAATTGGAAATACTATTGAACAGTTAGGATCATTCTTGTTCCAAGACGCGGTACTTGCGTGCAAAGGCATGCTGGTGTGCGCGTTCAGCGTTGCGCGTATTGTTCCAAAGAGCCAGTGCTATACAGAGTGGGGTTCAAACATTTTCGTGAAGGGGTGGTTTGGAAGAGAGAAATACACTTCCCATCAATTTTGTAGTGAAATAAAAGTTCAAATATATATCAAACGACAAGGATCTGTATGTCAGTTATATAAAACAAATATTGAGTGGCTTTAAATTGTGAAATGGGAAGAATGTTATCGCTCGGTAAAATCTGGACTTTTCCAGTTCACTCGGCTTCGCCTCATGAAATAGAAAAGTCCAGATTTTACCTTGCGATAATATTCCTCCCATTTCACTCTGAGCCACTCAATTTTTGTATACTAAATCCACTTTTCTGGAGAGAAAAAAGAAATCCTCAAATGATTGTTTTCAAACAAACAGAAGCCCTGAATATACGCTTCCAATCACACTGTGAAATATTATATGTTTTGGTCTTGAATGCAAGAATGATTGTTTTTCTATTATGATTGCCATAAAGCTACAGTGTATGGTTTTGTTTATAGCATAGACAGATTGGATATTGGAAAAGCTGTTCTATCTTGGCCTTCCAAATGTCTCTGTCCTCAAATTAAAGAGCTGGGATGTTGGGGTGTTTGTATGTGGGTTTTTTGTTTGTTTTAAACGCAAGAATGATTGTTTTTCTATTATGATTGCCATAAGCTACATTGTATGGTTTGTTAGCATAAACAGATTGGATATTGGAGAAGCTGTTCTATAATGGCCTAGCTTCCAAATGTCTATGTCCTCAAATTAAAGAGCTCGGCGGTTGGGGATGTTTGTTTGTTTGTTCATTTGTGCGTGTTTATGGTGTAATCGAGGACACACACACGTGGAACGCATCGATAAATCGAGGACAGAAACCGAATCGAGGACTCCTCGGTTGGAAAACATGTACAAAACCAATGAGAGCTGTTGCAAAAAAAGTTTAAGTACAAACAAAGGAAAAGGGAAGAGGAACAAAAGAAAATCCTCGATTTACACATTTAAACAAACGTATTGGTTCGTATGTGTTTTTTTTTGGAGGGGTTCTTTTTTGAGGGGAGGGGATGTGGCTATCACCAACATTATGTACAATGTGGACAGAACTGTTGGGAAAATATTCATACTCACTTCAGTGGTAGATGCAGGATTGTTTTCAAAGGAGGTCAAGATTTTTTAGGAGTAGAAGTGCAGGATATTTTTCAAGTGGGGGGGGGGGGGGGGGGGGAGGTTGGTCAGGGTTATAGGGTTGGGTGGGTTGGAAAGACTGAGACCAATCAACACGGTTACCATCAGCAATGAAATACTGTACTATCGTTTGATACATTTCTTACTTCCAGGTTCCAAGATGCTGGTTACTAAAGACTAGAGGGAGAAGGGGTGGGGGGGGGGGTTAGCCACCCCAACCATGGGCGTCGCGAGGGGGGGAGGCACCCCCCCCCCCCCCCCCGGAAAACCAAAAAAAAAGGAAAAACGAAAAGAAAAAAATGGTGCGAAGCCATATTGCTGTTTCTTTGATGGGGGGGGGGGGGGGGGGGGGGGGGGGGGGGGGGGGGGGAGGGGGGGAGGGCAAATGCTCCCCTGCTCACACTCGGAAAAATGATAACTTTCAAAGTTTGCTTTGCCCCCCCCCCCTGGAAAAAATCGTGGCGACGCCCATGACCCCAACCATCTACCCCATTGATAGATATATTTAGGCCTATAGCTTTTTATACGCAGAAACTTCTGTCCATTCGGCTTCTCTCATTAGCCTATAATCACTGACATTTCTAAGATACAAGTTGCATATGCCTCATCATCATCAGGATCATTTCTGCAGAAGGGGGGGAGGGTAGCCGCCCCAACCATCTACCCCAAATCTACCCCATTGATAAATATATTTATAGCTTTTGTACGCAGAAACTTCTGTCCATTCGGCCATCAGCCTATAATAAGTTGCATATGCCTCATCATCATCAAGATAGCTCTGCAGCACAGTGAGCACTCGGGCGTTCTCTACAAACCCTATCTAATGACAAGACCTGATTCTACGCATGACTGAAAATATATGCAAGCATCGTATAACCCAGTTTCTGCTATCTAATGAATAATGTAATACAAATGTATAACATTGAAAAAAAAATGCTGTTCCAACCTAGACCCTGGAGACACCAGTGTTAACATCTTCCAGTAAGGCCAAGTACAAAAATAATCCAGTTTCTTGTCCCACCCACTTCCTTTTTTCCTGCCCGCCTCCTTTTTTATATTTATTAAAAAAAAGTTTATTTCATACAGGTACATTTGCTTTATTTTGTTCATATTATTTGTTTCTAACAAATTGTAGCTATGTAGAAAGGGTTAGGCCTATGGTTCCTTTGGACTCAATTTGGTATCAGCAAAAGAGTTGAGAAAATGGAAAATCTTGGAAAATCTGCCATTTGGGGGAGGAGGGAACAAAGGAGGGAAAAAGCGCCTCCTTCATTGTTACAAAAAGCCGAGACGAGAAACTAGTTTAGATGTTTACTCGGCCAAAGATTGTTGATGCTGTATAGTACCGCGGAGTCCTGGGAGTCACGAAAAGATGAACTTAGAAACAATAACTCCAAAAGCTTAATTGGCGATACATTTTGGAAGTTAAGTAGGCCTACTTATTTCAAATTCAATATTTTAATGAATAACTATACATTGGAAAATGGATAACTTTGCATGAATGATGTATCCTGAGCCTCTTGTCACAGCTGCAACATTTGCATCTTCGAAGCCCAAGGGGCTGCGGTCCGGTACGGTTTGCTGCCAGTGTCATCAATTCCCATGAATGCATGACTAATGTTTACCTACTGTGTCCCATAAATGAATGCTCTACAAGTTACAAGTTAGTGTTAAACAGCATAACAGTGCCGTTAATCAGACCATGACAGTGTCTAATCAGGGGCCAGTCCAGGCAAGTCAGTGTTTTCATCTATGATGCTTGTGTTCTTGGGCAAGACACTTTACTACAATTGCCTCTCCCCACCCAGGGGTATAAATGAGTACTTGTGCAGGTAGAGACCAGAAGGTAGAGAATCTCGAACTGCTGCAATAACTGGTCTCACGGCCTGACAGTGGCGCACCAAAGGGGGGGGGGGGCCCTGAGAGTGCCTCGGGGGGCTTGTTCCCCCCCCCCCCCCCCCCGAGGTTGTTCCTTTTTTTTTTTTACTCCCACGATTTGACCATGGATTTGACCATATGTAAATGGCCTATTTTCGAGTAGTATAAAAGGAGTGTAAGTGGTGCCACCAACGTCAAAATAGTCCACCCCACCCCCCCAAAAAAAGATATGCGGCCGAAACTTTTGGGCAACATTTTTTGAAAAATATTAAACTTCTAAAAGTTTTGAAAAAACAAACATACATGAGCCCCCCCCCCCCCTCCATAAGGTGCTTGTACATGTACCAAAAAATCATCTTTTTTTGCAGAGGGTTTCAGTGCCCAAAAACGAAGAATTGGAAAGAGATCCATACCTGGACATCACTTGACACCCTGTGCACAAAGCCACAAACCCTATGAGACTGGTCTGAAAAATTCCAAGTGTTTTCTCAGTAATTGCTTCAATATTTTCCCTTTTGACTAAATTTGATATTATCAATTCGGATGGCTGATAGGCCACTGCAGGGAAAAATTAGTGATGTCCATGTATGGAATTGTTCCGGAAGAATTTTGGGGGTTAGAATAGAACATGGAAGTTGAAAATGTATGAAAAGTTCCTAGTGCAAATACATTTTCTTAGGATGTTTTTTATTCGGGAGTGGGGGAAGACGACGGGGGCTTCCCTCAGATCAACCCAAACAAACAATATTAAAAACTAAAAAAAATTATTAAAAAAACCTCAACGCATCATTCTCTTGTTTGGCATGCACTTGAGAAATAACACAATCTTTACAAAAACAAGTTATTACTTTACAAGCTTTTTCAATCTAAAACTGACTGTTCACCAATATCATTTTCAGCCATTTAAATCCAAATTCATAGGCTATTTCCACTCAGAGCTCAGCTGATTTACACCGAGGGCTCTCCAGGGGTTTCCCCCCTCTTGCTAAACTCATGACATTTCCCCAAGTCATCTCAACGGCCCCCTTGGAACATATCAGGGAGCTTATAAAGACATTATCCACGGACTTCGACTAATCAATCATTCAAACACCTCAAATGGCAAAAAAAAAATTCGTATCCGTACCTCTCTTAGACTTTCTTGAAAGCGTTCCCCTCACCCTCACCGACGATGCGCTTGGCTCACCATCGGTTAGTGAACCGCAGGACGAGAGTCAAACATCCTCTAAATAGTCCCGGTTTACTCAGGGGGATTTTCGCCTCTCACATAGAAGGCTTCCTGAAAAAAAAAATACATCAAAAGGACCGATCAGCTGTCAGGAGGGACGATGTGGCTGAAGCGATTCCCGCCGAGCGCACGAGCACCGAGAAAAGAGTTTTTTTTTTCACTGACTGCTTATCAATGGTTAATAGCTTTTGTGCACATGCATTTTACATACTATGTACCTCCTCTTCTATCTCCCTTCATCCCCTTGGGGGCATTCAGAAAAGATTGTGTCTGCATCCGTCTGGGACATCCCAGAGACTTTACATTTCGCTTGGCCATTGTGTTGCTCAGAGTCGTAATGGAGTCCTTTTATCAAAAGTTATTTTTACACTTGCCTTCCCAAATCCTCCAAAATCCTCTTTGCAAAATGGAGGATTTTGCAGGATCGAGGCAGTGGTCGCCCCTCCACTGCAAAGACCACATTCAAGAAATAACGGATGGTGTTGGAGGAGTGACCAGGCTGTATGCAATTTTTCACATGGAGGCAGTTGGAGGAGTTTACAGGATTGAGGTTGCATCCTGGCAAAAGTGCCTGGGGATTTAGGGTTAAAGTCAAATTTGATGTCTCCTATACGCAGGCTACTCACGCTTGTTATTTCTGTCGTAAAATATTCTAAATAAAATTAGGTTTTGCCCTTCACCGACGTTTTTTAAACACTGTATACTCAGTGTGTTACCTCCCGAGTGAAAGTTGGAAAAATCACTCGGGTGGACTCGAACCCACGACCTCCTGCTTTCTAGTGCAGATGTCTTACCACTCGACCACCGAGCTAACGGGATCGGTTGGCTATTCTAATGTAGCCGAGCTCTTTTCCGTTTCTGTGTTTTTATATTTTGTAGGAATAAGCCTACCATGGAAATGTTGACAGAATGATTTGGATAAGAACCAATATTTCCTGTGATCCAATTTTTTTTATGCAAATACTTCGATACTTTCAGCATACCATTTTGGCCAAGTACTCAGATTTCTTTACCCGCAATCAAAAAGCATACACGCTGTGCTAAGACCACACCCTCATAGGTTTTTTTTTAGGCTCAATTCCTAATGTGCCTTTTTGCCCAACAAGGCAAATAGACACAAGTGATAATTGCTGCAAATTACTATAAAAACAAGCTCAATCGGAAATATCTTGGAAGCTGCAGGCCAACGAATTCGTGTTCATGCTTGAGTCACGTGATTGTGCCATGTAATTTCTGGAAGGAGTATAGTGTTTTGAGTAAAACAAAATCAACTTTTTGACCCAGTGACCCCAAGATGACCTTTGACCCCAGTTTGGTCGTGTGACATGTTGGGGCTGGGCTACTGATACTTTTGACAAAGTTTGGTTGAAATCGGTCAAAATATTTAGGAGCAATAACAATGTCAACGTTTGTTACTAACTAACTAACGAACTAACGGAGAGACATGATGGTTTGATGAGCTGCTATCCCACAGCTAAAAATGCAAACCCTTGATAATAGGCAGTTTAAAAATGTCAGAGTTTAAGCAATTGGCAACAGGGCTTCATGCAGACCATAAACAATGATATAGGGATGATGTGATATCAATTTAAACAGGTAATACACGAAACGGATGGTGTGATGAAATACTTATGACAACTGGATGCACCAATGAAGTGCCCTAAAAATGATACTTTTGCTGCACCACGAAGTGATGGATCATCACTGCTTGAACCGTTACACAACCAATTTAATAGATCCATACATGATTATAATACTAAAGTTCCTTATCCAAATTGCATATACCCTTAGTCAGAACAACTCTTTCTCGACATACCATTTCTTTCTCTGGACCAAAAAACTGGAACTGTCTTTCACCGTCTATAACTAATTGCCCTTCAAGTAATACATTCAAATATAAACTAAAAACTTTCCTACTTAATTCTCAGAGTGCCTGATTCATTACTACGTTAACTTGATTCAGCCGTTATTGAAATGTTGTTTATTGTTGTGTCTGCTTTGTTTAACTGTTACATATTTAACTATTGTTATTATTTGTAAATTCTATAATAAGTGTTGTTTGTCTTGTTTTGTATTGTTGGGCACATCCACCACAAGCTCCGGCTTTTTGGGATGATACTGAATTGAATTGAAGTGGTGCAGCAGCTATCCACCACTTTTGTGGTAAAAGAGACAATGTGACAAAGGAATACCCAGAATTTCTAAATGGTGCTGGTTTTGTTGTAGGCTAGTGATGTATATTATGCAAGTCCACCAGTAACACAATGTAGTAGTTGCTCTTAACACATGACTGTCATGTTGAAGGAGGTACATTTGAACACAGTTTTATAGAACTGAGAATATTCCCTTCATTCAAATGAAAATGCGAATTCAAGAAACATGTCAAGTCTGCAACTGAAGCTTGCAAGTAGCCTTCCCTTTCAACCAAGGCCCATAGATGGATGTACATTTTCTCTTTTGTAGAGAATAGCTATATGGAACAAATGAAAGAGGCACTGCCCACTCCCCCCCCCCCCCTCGAAAAAAAAAAAGAGAGAGAGAAAGGGAAACAACAAAAGGAAATAAGGAAAAACAAAACCCCGAATTTTTTTTGTATTTTCATATGTGTACTGCTGCTATATAGTACAAACACATACATGTGTGTGATCGGATACACCGTGCCCTATGGAGACGTGCACACAATAGGGAACAATAGATTGTATACGTCTCCAAAGGGCAATTTCTATAGATGAATATGTCTTCACAAGATTTTCACGAAATAGATATATGGATTTTACTCAAAAAACTAGGAATTTCCAAGGTGGGTTGATCTGCAGCAAATGGAAGAGTTTTAGAGAAGGGATATTATTATTAAGTCCGAATTTCAGCCAAGGAAATTAATTCTGGTTAAAATAAGAGCATTTTGAAACTTCGCTTTCAAACTCGAAAACTTTATTACACGAGAACAAAGAAATGTCTCCACAAAAAAACAAATTTCAGTAGGCCTATGTGTGCACTTTTTTGTTAACACTGCCCCCGAGCTTAAATGATGTCAAATTCCTCCCCCCCCCCCCAACCACCAACTCATTCAATTTTTCCACAGCCTGTGGGGGCTTTGCCCCCTCTCAAAAAATTACTAGTGACGCCCATGATTTTAGGTGCTCGTCTCCGCTTTCCCTTTGCCCTCTCCCTCCACACCCTCGCCTTTCCAAGAGTCCGTTTTGATCACACCTGTCAAGACACGAGACTTTTTAAGTTCTCCTCGTGTGAGCCCTTCACTTATACTTTCTCTAAGCCTTTAGGGCCTGAAGGAGAAGTTGAGACAATCTTTCCACTTTGCTGAAACAAGAGGAGCCAATTTTCTTTCTGTTTATTGCCAAATTGCTTTTAACTTTGAGTGATGCGCCTCCGGTGCATGCACGCAACTAGTCCTGGTGGATCACAACAGAGTCAATGACATCTTCTTCACTGTAATAAGGTGTACAGTAAACACTACGGAATGTATTCTGCTTTCCCACATCAATAACTTTTAAAGGATGATTCCTTCAATTTCTTCTTCTTCCTCTTCCTAAAAAAATCTTCTTCTAAAAAAAGAGAGGAAGAATCTGCAGTTACAGGCTCTTTAGTAGAGCCAAAAGGACCTGTATATTTGAGAAAGTGGAATCACGTTTCCTTTTTTGATATGAACTTTTAGCACCAGCTTTTTAGAGAAATTGTTATGTAAAACATTTGATTTGTCATCTGGAAACTCATTTTGTTAAGTTTAATTCCTCATTCATATTCATATTTGTTTTGCTTAACAAATATCTGTGTATTAATGTTTGTTTGTTTCCAGTATTGTATTCTTCTTATGGTTGAATATACATGTTTGTTGATCAGTGCCCTGAACTTTGGTAATCAATATTTCACTTACTTATACTCCCCATCTAATTCCCCTTACAACATTTGCTATTTCTCAAACACAGACATGCTTTAAAGGTAGAGTAGCTAGGCCACTTGTGATTTGTTCATTTTTTTTCGTTTGAGACAACAAAAGTGCTCAAAATTATAAAAGACGGATGCTTAATACATGTAACTAAAAGTTTTCGTTCTGTGAACGCTGTATATTTCGAGAAAACAGAACAAACATAAACACAATATTCTGGATCTGGATTTCAATTCCAAAGTTGCCGAGTCATATTTTGAAGTGCGCCCTCTCCTGACACATAACAATCCCCAAATCAGCATTCGGGACATGATTCTCATTCAGCTGATTGTCACCCATTCACGGAATCGCCCAATTGCAAACCAACAACAATTTAGAACGCATTGGGACGGATTCACGGAAATATCCAAAATGTGTCACTTGACACATCTTTGGAAATGATTTCTATTGGAAATGGTTTTTTTTTTTCAAAATGACAGCATGTCAGAAGGAATAATATCACAGGGAGTTTCGTGTCATTACCATCTTTAAACCAAGTAAACTTTTTTGACGGAAATTTCCAAAAATGTGTCACTTGACACATCTTTAGAATTGACCTTCTTTTGTTGTTTTCTTCAAAATGACAGCATGTCAGAAAGAAAAATTTCACAGGAAGCTTAGTGTCACTACAATCTTCAGACCAAGTAAACTTTTTTCCGCAATAATTTAGTCGGTTACTTTTCGGATAGCTGCAAATGGTCTGCCCTCTACCTTTAAACTAGCTGCTGGAAAAAAAAAGTCAATCACATTTATTCTGGCGTCTCTATTATATTGCCTGGCTGATGTTTGCAGAAAAATCAATCAGACCTCCTTGACAAACTCGCCCCGCTACCGGATTTTTGGGTCGACTGCAAAGCATCGTGTCCAAATATTCGTCTGGGATGATTCAATTATAAGGCACGTAATACGATCAGAGATAAGCCTTGGATCCTATGTGCCAACCATTTCTATTTGCTGCACTTGATTTGCACTTTGCATATCCAAACACATGTACAACTTGCTAAGCTGAATATCAGAATACATGTAAGTTTATGTAATGACAGGGGAAAATCAGGGGGTTGAAAACATGAGAGTTGTTTTCCCTTAATTAAATAGCCAAACCACTAA